CGGCACAGACAACGGAGGCAGCGGCGGCGGCGACACCATGTCATCTCCCAGTCCGGGCAAGAGGCGGATGGACACGGACGTGGTCAAGCTGTATCCTTCGTGGAGGAGGGGGAATTAGGGCTGTGTGTCAGGGGCGGTGCGGGGATGCCTAGGGCACCCCCAAGGTGCGAGCAAGGGCCCTGGGGCACTCGAAGCCACTGTCCGAGACTTCCCTCCCTGCCCCCAGTGCCTACGGCGGCACCTCCCAGAAGCCGAGAGCCTTTCCAGCTCCCCCTTTATCTGCAGCACCCCGAAATATGCGCTGCTTCTCGCTCTAGCTGCACCCCCCCAGTGCCCGTGACTCTTCTCCACGACGTTTGGACTCCTAAGACGGCATTCCACCCCCCCCTCCCCGCAGGACTCGCCACCTCATTCTCTTCTACTGTCGAGCCGATCTCCAGGGTCTCTTTCTTGTTTGCTCGCTGTGGATTTAGGATCTAAAGGTAGACATTCCCGAGACGGAAGCCTTTCTCCTTTCTTGAGATGCCCCCATTCCCTCCACTCACAATGCTTCTTGAACTGGGGTAAATCAGGCGACCTCCTTTATCCCTAATTCCTTTCTATATTAGGAAGAGAGTAGTCTGCTCAGGGCCCCTCTCCTAATAAAGAGCTCTGTGTGTTTTAAATCAGAGGCTCTTGTTAAGCGTTCTGGTTCCTAGGAGGACCCTACTGTTTTCCTCTCCACTGACAAAGCCTGTCCCACCCATGGTTGTATGTGGTGAGGACCCCCAGGCCTTCCATCTAGTCACTCTCCATATTGTGGCTATGACAGCTGAGGGGAAGGAGAGAAAGAGGAGCTCCTGGACAAAATAGACCAGTACTAGCCACTGAAGCCAAAGTCCCTCTCTGAGAGTCAGATTCTTGGGGAGTACTTGCCCTGATCTGGCCAAGTGACACCCTTTATTTTTTTTTTTTTACTCTCCTCGCCCCAACTTTATTCACTCCGGAGGGTGCAGTAGGAAAGCTGTAACTGATAAGAGTCCTTCAGGCTGTGGTTTTGGTTGGAGTCCAGACTGATTATTTCATGGCCAGCTAGAGAAATTCGCGAAGGTTCCTATGACAAATTTCAGGAATTCTATTTATTTATTTATTTTGAGGAGTAATTTAGAGGGTGGGGGGAACCCAGTGTGTTGAACTAATCCCAGGGGAGAAAGGAAGAGGAGAGGAGTGAAGGGGTTAGTGTGTGAAACCCAGTCGAAAGTCCTGTCTCCTGTTTCTCTTTCTGCCTCACCCCCATCCCCCCACCATTTCCCCCTGTTGCAGGGTTTTGTTTATATAACTCAAGTTGTTTGGCTAGATTCTTCAGGTGAATTCCTCCTTTCTTGTTTTTATTTGTTACTGAATTTTTTTGACTGTTTTACTCCTTTGTAAAAATCGTTGATTATTGTCAAATACTCAGTTGTATGGGATTTGCTGAAGTTCTAAAAAAGTAGTTTTTGGATATGATTTGGTTGTGGGGGAGGGGAAGAAAAGTTGCCTGTGCAAGAGATTATATTTTTCCCCCCTATAATCTTTTCAGGAATAAGAATGTGTTTTTCTCCTTGTTCATGGGAAACTTGGCCAGAAATTAAGAACCGTAGATAAACTTCTAAGTTTGGAGTTTGGACTTTAGAATTTGGGGGGGAGGGATAGGAGTGAGGATTAGAGAGGAACAACTAATAAAGTATTATGTACCAAATAAATGTCTAGGGCACAAGTGAAATCAACTCTTTATGAGCTGTTTGGGGCCATGATTGTTTTGTAAATGTGTGAATTATACCAGTAATGTTGGCTTTTCATAAGGTTGCAGGAAAACTTGTAACTCTGTGTGTACATTCTACACAAAGCAGTTTCAGGTTTTATTTTTGTTTAGAAACTAGGAAATGACATGGTGGCAGAATTCGAGTTATTTTTATCTTGAATCGAGAGTTACTGTCACACCTAATGCAAATTTCTTCCTAATGTGTAATTGGGATGAAGTATGTGTGTGTGTGTGTGTGTGTGTGTGTGTGTGTGTGTAGGGGAGAATTCCAGCTGTTTTTGATTGATGTCAGATTCTCAAATTATATACGTACATATATTTTTAAAAGCTTGAGGATAAAGAGCGAGGCCTAACTTGACCTGATGCCTTTTCCATACAGTGTCTTTTGTTCATTTAGTAGTTGTGGCATCTAGAATGATTACCGCATTTAGAAGTCGGGGTGTGGGGGGTGGAGAGGGAGAGGAAAACAGACAAAGAACAGCAGGGTGTCTTTTTCTCCCCCCTAAGTGGCTTATTTCATAGCTTATTTTTAGTAGAAGATGAAGAAAGGCAAAAGATGCCTTGGCCTTCTGTTCTTTCCCCACCTTCCTCCTTTCTGACAAAAGAAAGCAGAGGCGCTTTAGAATCGCAGATCCCTGAGACAGGAGGATAACACTCGGATTTAAAAGCCAGAGGTTATCTTTGTTTCGTGTTTGTTGTTTTCTGGCTTAAGGTAGTTTAGAAGTTAACATTTTCGAATTTCCTTTTGTGTGCTGGTGTGTGTGTTGTGGGGGTGAGGGATTTCGTGGCCCCCTTTTTCTGTTGAATTCACATTAGTAGGCCCAAATGGAGCCAACAGTTTTTGAGTAAGGTATATTTAGCAAGAACATGTAAGGAAAAATTCCCCAACCCACTACTAAAATGAGTACAATTGTGTGCAAGGGCTGGGGTTGAAAATGGAAGATGGTGGAGAGGAAGTGGAAAGAAAAGGTCTGAAGGAATGCACTTCTAGCCCCTCTGCCCCTTGACGATTTCTTTGGTGTGGAAGCTGATAGCTGGTTTCATTGCAATCTCCTGTTTCAGCCCATTTTGGGCTGTCTCCCGAGCGTAATTATACCACCACGATTTACAGCCTGGCAGGGAACCTGTGTAGTACGAAAGTAGCGGTGTGGGGGTAGGGAGAGAAGAGGATGTGTAACTAATTGACCACTGCCTTCCACCACCTCGCTGGACTCTTTCTGAGACACCATCTCTGGTTGTTGTTTGCAGTCGGCGATATTTCTTTTGTGACGGGTTGGTAGGAGGAGAGCTAGCTTCCAAGTTAGGCAGGGAGTGAGTGTTTTGCACTGATGCACTTAATATCTGCTGGGCGATTATGTTCTGAAACTCTGACTCATTCATTGTTTCACTTCTGATCCTTAGCTAAGGGTTGTGCAAACCTCCCCAGGAGCCTAGAAACTGATTTACATGACTTTTGGACCCTATAGGAATGCGTCCCAATCAAAAAACTTGCAGGTATCCTCAGTCCTGTGGAATAGTCTCTAATAGTTGGGCCATTTGTTTGCAAAATCAGGTAGATGGGTAATCCTGTGCTGCTCTCCCCCTGGCAACCTCTGAGGTTTCCATCTCCAACTAGCTGATTATTTAGATTGTCTGAGAACTGGGACTCTGGTGACCTTAAAGCGTGATTTGCCCTAAAGGAATATCAGTTTAAGTTCTCCCTGGTGGAGGAACAAACAGCTCAGATTACACGGGTTTCCTTGTTGGGTGGGGGTTACTGGTCTCACCCTGTTGCACAGCCCTGGCGATCCTTTTATCTGTGAACCAGTGGCCCCTGCTGAAGGCTAGAGCTGCTTGTTTTGGAAGAGCGTATGCAGGCAAAAGGCCGCAGGCACAGCTCCTCACAGCTCATTGGCTGCTCTGTTACTCCCCGGAAAAGGAGGAGGGGCGGAGCTACCAAACAGCTGATGGAGTGTGTGACAAGAGAGTGTGTTTATATACAAAAGGGATGGGGGCTGGGGAGGCCTTGCCAGCGGGTGTTACAGGATCAAGGGTGTTTTCAAGGGGTCAGAAGAGGAGAGGAACACTTGACTTGTTAGAGTGTAAGAAATAGAGAAATGAAGGTTAAATCAGAAAAGTGGATCTGATAGTAAGGGGGACTTGGCATGCACCATGTTTGTTACTGATGTAAGGTTTTAGAACTGATAATACCGACAGTTTTCAAAGTCCAAAGATTCTCTTCTTTTGGAAGGAGTGCAGTAATAAAACAGGATGCATTGTTTTGAATATGCTTAATTAGCCTCATGTATGGGCTAAATGTATGGTAGAGATGTAAACATCCTTTACATCTGTCACTCTTCAAGAGTGATAGAAAGGGGCAGGATCTTATAAGAAATGTATTAACAGCATGAGTGAATTTAACAGAACAGTTGGTTAGAGTTTCAGAGCTTTTGGAGAGAGACAGAAGGAAAGTGAGAAATCCCCATAGGGGATGGTCACACCGCAGTCCCTTCTTTTCCATTGGCCTTTCAGGATTTTGGGCACTTGCCTGGCATGTTTTTCTGGCCAGCCGCTGGGTCCAGGACTCAGAGTGTGCATTTGGCCATCTGGGATCCAGCTGCCTCAACCACCACACCACTAGCTGCTCAGAGCTTCCATAACAAATTCAAGCCCTCAAATGTTTGAGCACTTATTTTACCTTTTTTCTTTCCCCCCCCCAGGGAAAGACTTTTACTATAAGGGCGCATTGACTTTGTTGGAGAAACAGGGTGAAAAGGCATGAAATCCACCCCCCCACCACCCCAGGGGGCATGGCCATGCCACAATCCCTTCTTTTCCAATCTCCTCTCAGGAGTTTTGCGCATGCATGTACAGGCGCCCAGCATGAGTTTCAAGCCCCAGGATCTGGGACTCAAACTGCAGTCGGCCTTATGGGAGTCTAGGACATTAACCACTGTTCTACCTGCTGGCCCTTGAACACTTCTTTTTTGCCAGTCATAGTGGTGCTGGGAGTTTAGTAGTGAACAGTTTAGTGTGCATAGTCACAGTGTTTATGTAATTAACTAGGAAAAATTGTTGGTTTTGTTTTTTGGCTTTTTTTTGGGGGGGGGTAAATCAAAAAGACAAGACTGTAGAAGGTCAGCATTGTATTAATCACCTTGCTTTTCCAGTAACTTTCATTGACTTTCAGAATGTATTTATCGAGGAATGGAAAGGTTAAAAAATGAATTTTATGGATTGAGATGGATCTGGGATGTGTACTGCCATTATATAAAAGATAAATACTAAACTGAACAAAAACAAACTAACTTAAGATGTGTAACCATTTGTC